GGAGACGACGTCTCCTGTTTCTCCACTACCTCTCGGCCGCCAGCGGCCGGGCGGTAGTGGGGAACAGGAAGCGTCGTCTCCTGAATCGGCCCGAAATGTGCGACTAATTCCGAGCGCTGATTCAGACATTTAAAATAAATAACTGTTTCTGCGCAATAAATCTTTTTTTGATTTATTAATTCAAAATATTAAATTAGATTTCAGTGTTAAAATTAAAATAGTGTTTCACATTAATATTCATCCAAAAAATGTTTAAAATGTTTAAATATTAATTTGGAACTAAATTATACTTAAAAAAAATTGATATTAAATTTGATCAAATAAGAAGGTTGAACGAATAAGAAATATAGAAGAAAATTTTCTTAAACTTAAAAATGAGAATGTTCGAGAACACAAGTATGAAAATATATGTGTATTTCTTATACAGATTTCACACTTGTGCAAATACTTGTGCAGACTTCACAGTTCACTGTCTTTAGCGGCAATAAAATAACTATATCTGTTAGTTATAAAATTAATTATCCCAATTTGTTAATCGCGTGCTGTTGCCGACGGCGGTACCCAGCCGCCGAAAGCACTTTCCAATTCTTGCGCAATCGCCAAGCAAAGGCGATCTTGAGAAGGCGCTGCTATCACCTACAATTTATTGAATACATTGCTAAATAAATCGATTAGTCTTGGAAGGGGAGGGGGGAGAGGGAGAGAGAGAGAGAGAGAGAGAGAGAAAAAAGAGAAGAGAAAAGAAATCTCATATAACTAATTTACCTGAACACCAATAGGTGATCCATTGCGATTGAGTCCCATTGGCACTTGCGTTGCGGGAAAGCCAAAAACATTGAAAATAGCGCAATACGCAATACCGAGTATTTCGCAAAGGTCAAGACACGGAAGAACCGCCGAGTTTCGGAATGTTGGATAAATAAATACCCCGTCCTCTCCCAACAAATTCTGCAGGAAGGAGAGATAAAAAAACTTCGTTAATAATGGTGCCAAAGAACCGGTTTTGCAGCGGTTTAACATTCGGGCCACTAACCAGCAGTTTTTGCCGAAGCGCTTCTTCTTTCTCTGTGTAATAAGATAATTCTGACTTCGAAAATGGAAGATGTTTCTGTAGCATTATGATGGCTAAAAGCATTGATATCGTGTATGACGAGTTGCCAAGTAAAGCTTTCCCGAATTCAGCGACTATATGCTTTTGGAGCTGCAGGAACAATATAACTGATAGCACGATAGCGTGTAGAGCTGAATTTTACATTTGCATATAAGAGAAATAAAATATTTTTATCCATCGACAATCGTCAAACATTATTTATAATAATATTTATGTGTTATAATGTCAGAAAAATATGCATATTGCACTGTAATTAAAAAATACTATTTTAATAATATTTTTACGTGTCAAATATTGGTTAAACTTTTCTTTTTTGTCTCCGCACCGGAGATAAAATTTTAGATTAACAAAGCACTGAATCTGAATAAGAATTATTTTACATATTTTTTGTGAAATTATATTTCCATACCTTAGAATGATTTATGTCTTTTAGCAAGGAAAAAGGGTTCTTTATTTTGGAAAGTCCAGCAAATGTAATTTCAACGACACTTGAAGGCCAATCTATTGGTAACTACAATGATAAGTAATATATTAAATTATTTGCATAAATATACTAAACATATGTGGCAAAAATACCGTACCTGCTCCGTATAAATACCATGGTTTTTGAAATGATTTGCGGCTTTCAGTATACATTCTTTGATTTCCGACGATACCGGCAACAAGCCTAACGAATTGTCCAAGGCTTGCAAATAGTAGACCTTTAATTGCTTCAAGTCCACCGGCACATTCAAACGCAAGTTATGTTCACATTTTGACGTTAGCACTTTTATTAACAGACCGAGGTCCTCCGCGTATCTGGTCATCGGACCAAAGGTCAAAAGTTTTAAAAAGACTATATCCTCACACGTTGGTAGGTGTCCTTCAGTTGAAATAATTCCTACAAAAAAGAGACGACACGATAAATTAATATATATTTTTATCTTTATTTATTTCTCCCTCTATTTGAGATGATAAATATTTAATATTGTTGAAATTTAAAAATTGATGAAATTTTGAAAAGTAAATCTTATTAAATTAAAGCCAATAAGATAGTTGAAATGCTCAGATTAAAAAAGAATTAGTTTACCAGACGTAGGTTTGTGCCCAAAAACACCGTTGAACAGAGCTGGGAATCGTACAGAACCAGCTATATCCGAACCAATTCCAATTAAAGAAGCACCTGCTCCGAGTAACGCACACTTAAACAAGACATTGTTTAAAATTTTCTTTTTCTTTAGCTTATGACATTATTTTTTATGTAAATAATTTTTAGTGTAAAATACGTGACAAATTTTGAACAGAGGTGCGTTTATCATTGTGTTTTCTTCAAGAAAGAAAAATATTTTGAATGAGAGTCGTGTTAATGAGTAACAACATATCTTTTGCTTGTATGAAACATTCTGACCTTGACTTAAATCGAAAAAAATACTGTAGAACACATAAACTTATAATTACAGTACCAAAGCGTTACAATTTCGCTAGTATACATATGTGTGTAATTGTAGTTGAATTACCTCTCCGCCAGATGATCCGCCAGCCGTGAACCTACTATCATATGCATTATAAGTGTGTCCGTACAAAAAATTCGTGGTGTCTATCCCGGCACACAACTCTGGAGTGTTTGTGACGCATACTGGGATTCCGCCAGCATTTCGGATTAATTCGATGATCACGGCGTCGCGAGTCGCTTTTATTCCTTTGCGATCTATACAGCTACCAGTATAACTGCATCCTGTAATGCGATTAAGCAATAACTAAATATTCCAAGTAATTATCTTTGCATCTTTTTAAAATAAGATTTGTTAAAGTGCAATCGTATTCATTAACGAGCTTTTATAGTGAATTATTGAGATATTTTTATAAGAATACGAATTATTTATACCTTTGACAGCGATAGATTCTTTGACAGTGAGCGGCACACCAAAAAGCGGCTTTTCCTTTTCTAAAGTTTTAGTATCAAATTTTCCAGTTTTTAATTGTTCATCGCAGATTTTTGCCTCAATTATGGCCTCCTCGAATCGATTGTCAACAACGGCATTTAAATGACGATTCACTTCCTTAATTCGCTGTATATATTCGT